CAGGGGCTCTAACACTCAGGGGCTCTAACACTCAGGAGCTCTAACACTCAGGGGCTCTAACACTCAGGAGCTCTAACACTCAGGAGCTCTAACACTCAGGGGCTCTAGCACTCAGGAGCTCTAACACTCAGGGGCTCTAACACTCAGGGGCTCTAACACTCAGGGGCTCTAACACTCAGGGGCTCTAACACTCAGGGGCTCTAACACTCAGGAGCTCTAACACTCAGGAGCTCTAACACTCAGGGCTCTAACACTCAGGGGCTCTAACACTCAGGGGCTCTAACACTCAGGGGCTCTAACACTCAGGGGCTCTAACACTCAGGGGCTCTAACACTCAGGGGCTCTAACACTCAGGGGCTCTAACACTCAGGGGCTCTAACACTCAGGGGCTCTAACACTCAGGGGCTCTAACACTCAGGGGCTCTAACACTCAGGGGCTCTAACACTCAGGGGCTCTAACACTCAGGGGCTCTAACACTCAGGAGCTCTAACACTCAGGAGCTCTAACACTCAGGAGCTCTAACACTCAGGGGCTCTAACACTCAGGAGCTCTAACACTCAGGGGCTCTAACACTCAGGGGCTCTAACACTCAGGGGCTCTAACACTCAGGGGCTCTAACACTCAGGGGCTCTAACACTCAGGGGCTCTAACACTCAGGAGCTCTAACACTCAGGAGCTCTAACACTCAGGGGCTCTAACACTCAGGGGCTCTAACACTCAGGGGCTCTAACACTCAGGGGCTCTAACACTCAGGGGCTCTAACACTCAGGGGCTCTAACACTCAGGGGCTCTAACACTCAGGGGCTCTAACACTCAGGGGCTCTAACACTCAGGGGCTCTAACACTCAGGAGCTCTAACACTCAGGGGCTCTAACACTCAGGGGCTCTAACACTCAGGGGCTCTAACACTCAGGGGCTCTAACACTCAGGGGCTCTAACACTCAGGAGCTCTAACACTCAGGAGCTCTAACACTCAGGGGCTCTAACACTCAGGGGCTCTAACACTCAGGGGCTCTAACACTCAGGGGCTCTAACACTCAGGAGCTCTAACACTCAGGAGCTCTAACACTCAGGGGCTCTAACACTCAGGGGCTCTAACACTCAGGGGCTCTAACACTCAGGGGCTCTAACACTCAGGGGTTCTAACACTCAGGGGCTCTAACACTCAGGGGCTCTAACACTCAGGGGCTCTAACACTCAGGGGCTCTAACACTCAGGGGCTCTAACACTCAGGGGCTCTAACACTCAGGGGCTCTAACACTCAGGGGCTCTAACACTCAGGGGCTCTAACACTCAGGGGCTCTAACACTCAGGGGCTCTAACACTCAGGGGCTCTAACACTCAGGGGCTCTAACACTCAGGGGCTCTAACACTCAGGAGCTCTAACACTCAGGGGCTCTAACACTCAGGGGCTCTAACACTCAGGGGCTCTAACACTCAGGGGCTCTAACACTCAGGGGCTCTAACACTCAAGAGCTCTAACACTCAGGGGCTCTAACACTCAGGGGCTCTAACACTCAGGGGCTCTAACACTCAGGGGCTCTAACACTCAGGGGCTCTAACACTCAGGGGCTCTAACACTCAGGAGCTCTAACACTCAGGAGCTCTAACACTCAGGGGCTCTAACACTCAGGGGCTCTAACACTCAGGGGCTCTAACACTCAGGGGCTCTAACACTCAGGGGCTCTAACACTCAGGGGCTCTAACACTCAGGGGCTCTAACACTCAGGGGCTCTAACACTCAGGGGCTCTAACACTCAGGGGCTCTAACACTCAGGAGCTCTAACACTCAGGAGCTCTAACACTCAGGGGCTCTAACACTCAGGGGCTCTAACACTCAGGGGCTCTAACACTCAGGGGCTCTAACACTCAGGAGCTCTAACACTCAGGGGCTCTAACACTCAGGAGCTCTAACACTCAGGGGCTCTAACACTCAGGGGCTCTAACACTCAGGGGCTCTAACACTCAGGGGCTCTAACACTCAGGGGCTCTAACACTCAGGGGCTCTAACACTCAGGGGCTCTAACACTCAGGGGCTCTAACACTCAGGGGCTCTAACACTCAGGAGCTCTAACACTCAGGAGCTCTAACACTCAGGGGCTCTAACACTCAGGGGCTCTAACACTCAGGGGCTCTAACACTCAGGGGCTCTAACACTCAGGAGCTCTAACACTCAGGGGCTCTAACACTCAGGGGCTCTAACACTCAGGGGCTCTAACACTCAGGGGCTCTAACACTCAGGGGCTCTAACACTCAGGGGCTCTAACACTCAGGGGCTCTAACACTCAGGGGCTCTAACACTCAGGGGCTCTAACACTCAGGAGCTCTAACACTCAGGGGCTCTAACACTCAGGGGCTCTAACACTCAGGGGCTCTAACACTCAGGGGCTCTAACACTCAGGGGCTCTAACACTCAGGGGCTCTAACACTCAGGAGCTCTAACACTCAGGGGCTCTAACACTCAGGGGCTCTAACACTCAGGGGCTCTAACACTCAGGGGCTCTAACACTCAGGGGCTCTAACACTCAGGAGCTCTAACACTCAGGAGCTCTAACACTCAGGGGCTCTAACACTCAGGGGCTCTAACACTCAGGAGCTCTAACACTCAGGAGCTCTAACACTCAGGAGCTCTAACACTCAGGAGCTCTAACACTCAGGGGCTCTAACACTCAGGGGCTCTAACACTCAGGAGCTCTAACACTCAGGGGCTCTAACACTCAGGAGCTCTAACACTCAGGAGCTCTAACACTCAGGAGCTCTAACACTCAGGAGCTCGAACACTCAGGAGCTCTAACACTCAGGAGCTCTAACACTCAGGGGCTCTAACACTCAGGGGCTCTAACACTCAGGGGCTCTAACACTCAGGAGCTCTAACACTCAGGGGCTCTAACACTCAGGGGCTCTAACACTCAGGGGCTCTAACACTCAGGAGCTCTAACACTCAGGAGCTCTAACACTCAGGAGCTCTAACACTCAGGAGCTCTAACACTCAGGAGCTCTAACACTCAGGAGCTCGAACACTCAGGAGCTCTAACACTCAGGAGCTCTAACACTCAGGGGCTCTAACACTCAGGGGCTCTAACACTCAGGGGCTCTAACACTCAGGAGCTCTAACACTCAGGAGCTCTAACACTCAGGAGCTCTAACACTCAGGAGCTCGAACACTCAGGAGCTCTAACACTCAGGAGCTCTAACACTCAGGGGCTCTAACACTCAGGGGCTCTAACACTCAGGGGCTCTAACACTCAGGAGCTCTAACACTCAGGGGCTCTAACACTCAGGGGCTCTAACACTCAGGGGCTCTAACACTCAGGAGCTCTAACACTCAGGAGCTCTAACACTCAGGAGCTCTAACACTCAGGAGCTCTAACAGTCAGGAGCTCTAACACTCAGGAGCTCTAACACTCAGGAGCTCTAACACTCAGGAGCTCGAACACTCAGGAGCTCTAACACTCAGGAGCTCGAACACTCAGGGGCTCTAACACTCAGGAGCTCTAACACTCAGGAGCTCTAACACTCAGGAGCTCTAACACTCAGGAGCTCTAACACTCAGGAGCTCTAACACTCAGGGGCTCTAACACTCAGGAGCTCGAACACTCAGGAGCTCTAACACTCAGGAGCTCTAACACTCAGGAGCTCTAACACTCAGGAGCTCTAACACTCAGGAGCTCTAACACTCAGGAGCTCTAACACTCAGGAGCTCTAACAAGGCAAAGAGGATGAGTGAACTCGGGAAGTAGTGCAAGGTAAGGCTGAATAAATGAACTGACACCGATGGGTTTCAGTACCAGCGATATGTGTAGTAATCTACTTACATATGGCAAGCAAGCATCGTGGGTGGGGTGGAATTGGCAAGTCCCTGCAGATACGAGCTGGCAGGTGGGGGATGAGCGGGGTTGGGTTGGCATTGAGTCAGAACTTAGAAGCCTTTGACTGGCGTGAGTTTTTGGAATGGGTGACTTGGGAGAGTAGTTGTAATGGCACAGCTGGATGGGTGAACTCCAATTGATTGCCTGAGACTGGCTGGCATGACATGGTAACAGCTTGTAAAGCCTCTCAACAAAGATTCGAGCTCCACGCGGCGACCTAACACGTTCGTGCTTGTTTTCGTTATGGCCCCAACCTGAGTTGAAGTGACGATGTAACGAAGGAATCTAACTAGTACACCCCAGCGCCCTAGCGGCCCAGCGCGTCCCAGCTCCCTAGCAAGCTCTGGACCGGCCTCTGGGACCATCTTGCCATCACTTCCTTTCCAAACCTTCCAAGACTCTTCTCCGAGCGGATCCACGGCAGAGGCACCAGGCAAATTGCCCGGGCCTCAAACCAGACTCAAGGCCCCAAGCCACTCCTCTCATGACCTTTGATACTCTCGCCCCTCTTCTGCGCACTCGTCTGTAAGTCCCCGTGCAATTGTTTCGCCATCTACTCCCGCCTCTGCTCTGCTCTCTGCCCTCAGGGCTGCCTGCTGCAGCGGGCTCTGCAGGCCCACGCAGCACCACTCTCGCCATGTCGTCTGGGTGCAGAAAGGAGGAGCAGGAGGCGGGAGATGCGCCACTGACACTGCCGTCGCCGCTGTCATTGCCACTGTTGATGGCTCTGCTGCTGCTGCCGCTGGAGGAGCTCGTGCTGACAGCTGCGGGCTCAGAAACGATTGACTGATGGTGTTGATGGCTCTGCTGCTGCTGCCGCTGGAGGAGCTCGTGCTGACAGCTGCGGGCTCAGAAAAGATTGACTGATGGGAGCAGATAGGGGAAACATGGGTGGAACGGGAGAAAGTGGGGCAGAGGAGAGAAGGGGAGGGAAGGGGAGGAGAGCAAGTACTACCGTATATCGACACTTGAATGGCATCCAAGGCGCTTCAATCCAACAGCCATGAGTTTTTTAGATAAAGAAGGGCGAAGAAGGAGAACAGAAGATGGGAGAACATGGAACTATGTGCGCTGGAAAGAAACGGAAAGAGAATACACGAGAAAAAAACGGATGCGGAAAGTGGGCGTACTGCTGGATATGCGGCGGCTGAAAGCGGTGCTGTGGGGCCTTGAATGACAGGCGCGTCTGGGAGACCTGCTGCTATGCAGCGGGACGGGGAGCGGGTGGGGATCGACACAGACCGGCAGATGCAACAGGGAAGCCGGAGGGAAACGTGGGTGGCTGGATGTAATTTAGTCTGATGTTAGACTCGGTGTCTCAGAATCAACAACATCAAAACAACACGCCACTGCCGGCAAACTGTGCATCAAAGTCAGCAGCCAGGCTGTGAGCCACAAAAGCATCAGCACAAATGGTTGGCTCGGCAGAACATATTCTCACAGCTTACACCAGAAACGTGAATTTCGTTCAGAAGATGCACAGTCAAACCACCAGGTCTTGAGCGTTGCACGTGGCAGTTTGACACGTCAAATAGTGCCTGAATGACGTGGCGATACCGAGCACGCACGAGATGACGGGTCCCACGGCTGTAATAATTGCCAAGGCATCGCCTGGACGGTGGAACCCAGGAAAAGAGGAGGAAAGGCGGAAGCGGGGAGGAATGGGAGAGGCGGGGGAAGCGGGGGAGGGAGCGGCGGAGGGGGACAATAGGGGGAGGGGAGAATGACGGTATATGGAATAGCTAATGGGGATTTGTAACCGCGTTTTCCGAACCGAAAATTTTAACCGGGTTATCCGAGTTGCGAAGATGCTAAAGAAGAAAGACTAGTGGAGGCGACAGCCTGGGAATATAGAGACGAGACGGCTAGATCTGCTGAATCGTCTAGGCTATACCTTTTTTTTCTCGAGCCGCGTTGAATATGTACTCCGGTTTTAACAGAATGCATAAACAGTTTTAAGTTGAGAATTCCAGGAGTAGCGGGAGCTTGGTCGAGGCAGACGCGAATAAAGCCTGCACCTGATCGGGTAACCACGTCCGTGCATGACCATCATTACCGTCCGCCATTATTCTGACATTGCGCAGTGACAGTCCCAGTAGGTTCTTGGAGTGGGAACGAAACCAGCTGCTGGGATGGGGGGGGGCTATCAGCAGCAAGGGAATCACAGTGGGGGGATGGGTGAGGATTCCAGGTCGAAGTGGACGAACGGGATGAGTTGCTTTCGTCCAATTTGTTACCGAGTTCCGTTCTGCACCTTCATTCGCAGCTTCGAGGTTGGCATGACATGGTAGCAGTATGCGATGCAAGTCTCGAAATCTCCTCCACCAGGGTTGGAGCTGACCACACAAATTACAACACTCGCGAGCTCGCGCGACGACTTACGCAATTCGCGCTTGTTTTCGTCATAAGCCGAACAACAAGCCGAAGTGAGCCTCAAACAGAGGCAACAAGCACGTCTCTACACACTAGCAAGGCATGACCGCCAAAGGTTCTCCTCAGAGCAGATCTGAGAGGCAGCAGAACGAAACTGAGGGGGAATGTCTAGGCCTGAAAGCACTCCCGTCCCTCAGATCTGAGCCAACGCCATTCACGCAAGACAGCTGTCTGTTCCCCACGTCTTTCTTATTAGTAAATAGAACTAATCTCCACGCCTAGACTCGCATCGCGATAGAGTCATGTTGCGAGCGTCGTTTAATCAGCTGCCGGACGAGCTCATCTGCCTCATCTTCCGATGCCTAAACGAGCAGTCGCCCAGCTACTTCAATCATGCGTTGGTCTGTAGGCGTTGGAATCGCCTAGCTTACCATACACAGACGTCCATCACCAACAGTCCGCCTTGCCTTACCGTAGATGCTGGCCTTTTAAAAACTCTCTCCCGGTTCAAAGGATTGACTTCTCTGACGATCAACAAGTGCGCGATCGACCCGAGTAATGACGAGTTCATCCGTGGCCTAGGAGCTGCCTGTCCCAGGCTAACTCATCTTGACCTGAGCAACGGTTTCGAGAAAGGGTTGACGTATGAAGGTGCAGATGCCCTTTTCACAGCATGCACTGCCTTGCGGCATCTCTCCCTGAACATGAGGACAGTTTACGAGGACGGCACCTGTGATTTGCCACCATCCTTTTTCAGCCTTTCATCCTTGAGGGAGGTCAATCTGCGCGTGAACTTCAACGGGCTTCCTGATATGTTCGACAAGCTAAGTTCCCTGACGAAGCTAACTTTCGCAACCTCGTGGAATTACGCTCTTCCTGACTCATTTGGCAGGCTCACCAGGCTGACTGATCTAGAGATAAGTATTCCGCCTTCTTTAAAACAACTACCTAGCTCCTTGGTTGACGTGACGTCACTGATCAGACTCAGACTTGTTGAAATGGAGAGATTGACCGCTCTTCCTGACACCATCGGCCAGCTCCAGAACCTCCAAGAGTTGTACCTCAAATCCAACAACTATCTTACCAGACTTCCAGAATCCTTCTTCCAACTAACTTCCCTCCGAGTTCTTGAGCTCGTGAGATGTGATAATTTCTATGCGTTTCCAAGAACTGTGTCAGGCCTCGTTTCTCTTGCGATGCTAACCATCAAGAATTGCAACCATTTTTTTTCGCTTTCTGAGTCCTTCCGCGGTGTTTCTAACCTCCGTGTGCTCGTCATCAGCAACTGTCCAAGCTTCATCGGCCTCCCACAGGAAATGGGTCGCCTATCGTCTCTAAAGCATCTCGAGCTGTGCCAACTCAGAAGCTTTACTAGCTTACCGGATTCCCTTGCCGAGCTCTCCAATCTCCACAACTTCTCCTTGAACCAGTGTGACAGAATTGCCGCATTCTTGCCATATCTGCCTCGGCTTTGGAGCAGCCTCACAACGCTTGAATTTTATTGGCCAGTCGACTTCAGGGCCAGAATCGAGGATGAAGAAGCCTTCATGATGTCTCTTTGCAGGCTCTCAAAGCTATCAACGCTCTTCCTGTCTGGCTTTTCCAAACTGCATACGCTTCCAGACATTATCAAGAATCTTTCACAGCTGCAGCAGTTGACGTTACGTTCTTGGCCCAAGCTGGTCTCCTTGCCCAAGTCCATGACCAGTCTCACCAGCCTCAGGACTCCTGTGATCACTAGATGCCAGAGCTTTGTGAATCAGGACGAAAACATCTCCAGCATTCCAAGTCTGGACAGTGGATCTGTGAAGGTAGACATGTGGTAAATGGGTCATTGAGGGGGGGAGAAGCGAGTGCATTGAGTGGGAGGTGCTGACTGGGATGTTCGAATATGCTAGGCACTTCCTGGTACAGATGCAGTGATGTCTGCAGTGTTGTTGGAGATGGTTCAGACATTGGCCTCATAGTTTGGTAATTAGTTACTACCAGGCCCCCAGAAGTCAGAGAAATTTCTCTGATTCACCTAAAAAACTCTGATATTTCAGCCTTTTTTTTTAGTGGACTCTGAAACTTCAGCCTTTTTTTTCGTATGAACTCTGAAGAATCAGATTTTTTTTTTAAGCCTACTCTGATATTTCATACTTTTTTCGAGAGTGTACTCTGATCCATCAGACTACAAACGCGAACCTACTCTGATTTTGACTATGCAAGATTCGCAGGTATCCCCTCGTTGGCACCAGCGCAGACCAAATCCAGTTGCTGATTGGTCGTTTAGGCAGCTTTTTACTGCAACCTAGGGCTCGACCAGTACCCACGTTGCAGACTATCGCAGCTACACTTCACATCAAACAGCAGAGTGACGATAGCAGCGACTCATACACTGCCCTCCCCCCGTACACTACCCTCCCCTCATACACTGCCGTCGAGCTCTCTCGTCGCCACCTGTTCCATTCATTCAGACTCTCTCGTCCCCCTCATACACTGCCCTCCCCTCATACACAGCCCTCCCTTCCCTCCCGTCACACACGTGACTCCTCACCATTGGTAACGTCCCTCCGGTCGCTCTCGTAGCCCTTGTCGCTCTCGTCGCTGGCCCCTCGCTTCCTTAGGGCGCGTAACTTTTTGCTTTTATCGTCCGGACGGAGGCCCCGTCCGGACTTTTGTAGGGTTACTAAAATCGTCAGGGTTCGTCAAAACGTTCGCTAGACCCCTCGCGACGTCGCAATCGTCCGTACGAAGTCTGACACTTTTCTGTCAGTTCAGCGTCCGTTCTACGCTACTGACACCGTCCGGACAGGATTTCGGACCCGTCCGGAACCCCTGCAACGTCATTGGTGCGCAAGACACATTTTTCAGAATCAAACTTCCCACTCCAACTTTCAATTTGTTTGTGTGTTGTTGTCACAGTAGCGCGAGCAAGAGGACAAAGTGGTTGGAAAGTTCAAACATTACCGAGCCGCAAATGCATGCTTGCGAATTAGGCGATGTTGAGGCGAGGTAAGTTATGCTCGTTACTCTTTCGCACGAATTATAAATTTCGAAACTGCAAAAAAGTGTCACAATTGTGGTACGGACGCTTCATCGTCCGAACCACATCCCCATCCGTCCGGACGGAGCTCCGTTCGGACGTTTTGGGTGCTCCGTACGGACATTTGACTAAGGGCGTGTAACTTTTTTACTTTTCATCGTCCGGACGGAAGCCCCGTCCAGACTTTTGTAGGGTTACACAATTCGCCAGGATTCGTGAAAGAGTTCGCAAGGCCCCTCGCGACGTCGCGAAGGTCCGTACAAAATCTGACACTTTTCTGTCAGTTCATCGTCCGTTCTACGCTGCTGAGACCGTCCGGACAGCATTTCGGACCGTCCGGAACTCCTGCAACCTCATTGGCGCGCGAGGCACAATTTTGGCAACTCGATTTCCCACTCCCAACTTTCAGTTTGTGTGTTGTACTCACAGTAACGCGAGCAAGAGGACGAAGTGGGTACCTCAAACATTACCGAGCCCAAACTGCATGCTTGCGAGCTGGGCGATGTGCTGGCGAGGGAGGTTATGCGCGTTACTGTTTCGCTCAAAACTTAAATTTCGAAGCTGCAAAAAAGTGTCACAATTGTGGTACGGACACTTCATCGTCCGAACCACATCCCCATCCGTCCGGACGGAGCTCCGTTCGGACGGTTTTGGGGCTCCGTCCGGACATTTGCCTAAAACGGAAAAAGTTACACGCCCTTAGATTGTCACGGACGCTCGCAGCTCACTCACGCCCGTCGTTCATTTCACTCCCGTCGATCACTCGCTCGTCGCTCACTATCGCTCGTCGCTCACTCACGCTTGTTCTAACTTCCTCCCTTCGTTCGCCCTTCCTCCATTCGTTCCTCCCGCCCCTTGTCCCGTCGGCTCCCGTCCCTCTTCCCGTCGCTCCCGTCCCTCCTGTCCCTCCCGTCGCCCTCGATTCAAGTTCAGTATTTATGAGACGCTACCATTCTATGCGTGGGCTTTAAGTGCAGTGTCTGTTCAACCCATGCTGGCGACGCAGCCTAGTGCGGGAAGCGTGGGAAAGGAGCCACTGACGTGCTGCAGAACCAGTCCTTCCGTAAGCACGCCGGCTCACAGAAGCACAAGCTGGCAATGGCAACAAAGTGGTAGACCTAGGAGATGCTGCACTTCAGAGAGATGATGATCCACTTGCATGAGTAGAGTAGATAATGCATGTCGCATGGATGTTTTGTGTTGTGCCTTTACATTACTGCATTAACCAAGGCCAACAGCACACCCTGAAAACACAATCAGAGTTCTTACTGGTGCAGACTCTGAATGATCAGACTTTTTTTTTTGTAGACTCTGAAATTTCAGACTTTTTTTTTGTACTAACTCTGATTGATCAGACTAAAAACGTGTACCAAGTCTGACGAATCAGACAGCCCAAAAACGAATCTGAGGGCCTACCATCATGGACGCCAGGTCATTGCAATGGTAGCCTAGCCTGTATTGTCAATGTCACCAATTGATGTGCCATATGGTTTACATACCGCAGTGAGATGGTGCTCGTTCTGCAGTTTCCCGTCCGTCATTTGAGAAATAATAAAACTTGCAAGAAGGCACTCAATTCATTTCATACGTACATATGGAATGTGGTACCAAAATGTAGTGCTGCAATCGCATATACGGTACCAACCATAGTTGCAACTCTGAATTTATGGATACATTTGGCACTCATGCCCCGATGCTCACAGGAACAACCCAGCATCCATAGTTTCTCAGTATCTAGTGTCCAGACAGAAATACAGACCTAATGTAGATGCAATCGCTGTCTGAGTTCTAAACTGGAGGTCCACTGTGAGCTTGTGCAGCGCACTTGATTTCCACGCACCATGTACCCCATACAGTGTTTTGCATCCACTGCACACACATACATCTATTCTCCAGGTCCATGCTCGCATGCCATAAACGAAGCACGTAACATGCAGTGCACATACGTACACGCACGCATGCATAAATAAAAATCAAGTGCAAAGGCTGTCAATTAGCCATGTCAGTATCACATGCCATGCCATGGCAGCTGCAGCATGTCACGGCTTTTCTGGAATGCACTTGCTTGTGCACACACCATCCCCAGCAAGCTTGCTCCCCAAAGAAGTGCCAACCAGCCATGCATCCTGTGCAGTCTGTGCTACAAACACCCACCCCATGCCATACTACCGATGCCATGTCACCCATGCCACCCATGCCACCCATGCCACCCATGCCACCCATGCCACCCATGCCATCCATGCCATCCATGCCACCCACAGCAGCCACGCAGCACGCCAGGTCAGGCCACAGCAATATAAACTTGGCTGCTATTGCAGTCAGCTGCTAGTGGCTGTTGCCCGGCCGGCCTCCGTCCGTCCCGTCTCGATGCCACTGGGCAAGGTTCAAAAATACGTTTTTTTTTTTTTACCCTGCCACTGGGGCACGCAGCAAAGAAGCCCGGACATTCAGGAACGTGCGAGCCCCATGTCAGGCAGCGGCTGTTGCAGCTCGCCGGTTGGAGAAGGCAAGTGCAGCGTTGCGTTGCGGTGCGATGAACCAGGGGGGGTGTAAGGGCACCGAGGAGTCGGAAATCCGGCGGGATGAGCCGACTTAGTGTTGCATTGACTGAGAGTTGACTGAGAATTGACTGAGAAATGACTGAGAATTGACTGAGTGTTGACTGAGAATTGACTGAGCGTTGACTGAGTGTTGACTGAGTGTTGACTGAGCGTTGACTGAGCGTTGACTGAGCGTTGACTGAGCGTTGACTCAGTAGTCCTTGGCTCGGAAGATGGCCAGCAGCCGTGCCGCCTGCACACCACAAGACAGGGTCATGCATGGGAGTGGGGGTGGAGAGGTGGGTGGGCAGGGGGGTGGGAGGCTTGGAGAATGAAGGAGAGAGGGAAGTTTTACGGAGGACGCCTAAGTGGGGGCAGGGCAAGACACTTGGTGACAGGGGGTATGGCCAAGCCGTTGCAGAGAAGTTGTGGTGTGGGACAGCGAGATGCCTCATCTCCCGTTCATGCTGCTTCCCCCCTCATGCACCATCCCCCTCATACCCTATTCCCTCAAGTGCGAAATTCCCCTCACCATTTTTCCTACCATTCTTTACCTTTCCCTACCCCCTCCTACCATTTCCAACCCTTTCATTTCCTTTCATACCCGCTCATAAGTTGTCCTGTCGTTCACTTGCCTGTAACATTTAACCTCCAATGGGATTCACTCACAACTCGCACGCACAGGCAGGCGATGGGACTTCGCATGGCAGGTCAGCTCGCATGCACAGGCACAGGCACGAACAAAGTTTTCATTGAGGTCCATGGGAGTCGGGACTTCGCCCATTGAATTCTTACGGGTTGGAAGGGCAGCAGTGCACGAGAAATTGCTTGAGAGAATCTAAAAAAGAACAAGAGCCAAAAACTACCCTTGCAATGAGGAAAATCGACCGCAAAGTTTTGTTTCTCTCTGAAAAACCGGGCTGAAAACAGCAAGGCGAGGGCAACGGACCAATCCCCCCTTGCACACTCCGCCCTGCCTGCCCCCCCCAACCCATTCCCCCTTTTCCATTCCGCCTTGAACATTTCCCCTTGCCCATTCCACCTTGGCCGCTCCCCAACCCATTCTCCCTTCCCATTCCCCCACATACCCTCCCTTATTCACCCACCCATTCCCCCTTCTCCATACCCCCTGGCCCATTCCCCCCTGCCATTCCCCCTTACCATTCCCCCTTACCACTCCCCCTTGCCCATTCCACCTACCCCGTTTCTTCTTGCCCATTCCCCCCTGCCCAACCCCTCTTGCCCATTTCCCCTTGCCCAATCCCCACACATTCCCCATTGCCCATTTCCACTTCCCCATTCCCCCTTGCTCATTTCCCCTGCTCGTTCCCCTTTACCCGTTCCACCTTCCCCCTATTTCCCCTTCCCCATCCCCCCCCCTTGCCTATTCCCATCCATTTCCCCTAGCCCGTTCCCCTTGCCCATCCCCCCATCCATTTCCCATTGCCCATCCCCCCATCCATCCCCGCTTGCCCTGTTCCCCACCCATGCCCCCTTGCTCATTGCCCGACCCATTCAACCCCCATAATCCGAGTTGACTAGAAAAACCAGCCACATACTGCCATCCCCCTGTGCAAGTCACAGTGTCAGTTTGTGGCTCTGTGAAGCTTCATTTTCAATCACAATCACTCCAAACGTGATGTTGCAGGGTGTTTTTGAGAATTCCCAAAATCACCCTGCAGTGTCTGTATGTGGCTCTGTGGGGCTTCATTCTCAATCACTCCCACCGTGCTGCACCGCTGCAACACCCCCACGCCCCCTAGGGTGCCCTTTATTCACACCCACCCACCACAGCGCACCTTCTAGTGAACTCATCTGGTGTCAAAGGTCACCCTCTTATCTCACAGCAAGCAACCCTCTTATCTCACAGCAAGCAACCCTCTTATCTCACAGCAAGCAACCCTCTTATCTCACAGCAAGCAACCCTCTTATCTCACAGCAAGCAACCCTCTTATCTCACAGCAAGCAACCCTCTTATCTCACAGCAAGCAACCCTCTTATCTCACAGCAAGCAACCCTCTTATCTCACAGCAAGCAACCCTCTTATCTCACAGCAAGCAACCCTCTTATCTCACAGCAAGCAACCCTCTTATCTCACAGCAAGCAACCCTCTTATCTCACAGCAAGAAACCCTCTTATCTCACAGCAAGAAACCCTCTTATCTCACAGCAAGAAACCCTCTTATCTCACAGCAAGAAACCCTCTTATCTCACAGCAAGAAACCCTCTTATCTCACAGCAAGCAACCCTCTTATCTCACAGCAAGAAACCCTCTTATCTCACAGCAAGCAACCCTCTTATCTCACAGCAAGAAACCCTCTTATCTCACAGCAAGCAACCCTCTTATCTCACAGCAAGAAACCCTCTTATCTCACAGCAAGCAACCCTCTTATCTCACAGCAAGAAACCCTCTTATCTCACAGCAAGCAACCCTCTTATCTCACAGCAAGCAACCCTCCACGGCACTCCTTTTACCAACTCACCCACCAGTGTTAGCTGTACACCCGCAAGCCCTTGAGTGCCCCTCCCCCCCGGTATGCACACACTGGCGTGAGAGTGCTACAGCCAACCGCCCATCCACCTCTCACATGCACGTGCTGTGAGCCATGCAGGTGCTGTGAGCCATGCGGGTGCTGTGAGCCATGCACGTGCTGTGAGCCATGGCACCTGTATTGAACCCCATGTATGTGCCATGGCTTTACGTGGCAGCGAGCTACAGTTGCTGCTGTTCATGTTGGAACAAAAACAAAACACGGTATCTGTTTGGTAAAAACGTTTACGTTTGGGTAAGGACGAATTGATGCTCCCACATTGCTGCACTGCAGCACCTTCAGCATATGCATGCCCAAGCCACACACCTTCTTGCCCCGTTCACCCACCCTACCCCACCCGCCGTATCCCCACCCTTCCTACCATCACCCCACCCAACTCTCACCTTCAGTCACACTTTTGCAGTGCCACAGCGCTGTAGCATCTTCAGCGTATTCATGCCCCAGCCACACATCTCCCTGCCTACCCTACCCTACCCAACCCACACCCGCCATACCCCACCCATCTCTCACCTTCATTCACCCATGCACTCGGGGCGTGCCACAGCAGCGCAGGCAGCGCCCCCATCGTGGACAGTACGCGCTCCCCCCCCCCACGATCTCATCTCGAGGTGACTTTTGAGTCGACTCAAAAGCCACCTCGTTACAATGGCAGGCACACGACCTCGTTACAATGGCAGGCACACGACCTCGTTACAATGGCAGGCACACGACCCATGCACTCGGGGGGCGTGCCACAGCAGTGCAGTACAGCGCAGCGCCCCCGTCGTCGAGACGACCCATGCACGCGCGCGGCGCTCCCCCCCACGATCTCATCTCGCACAACCGGGTCATCCGCCCCGCCAGCATCAGCAGCACCCTTCCCCACCCCCCTCAAGCAACAACTCACCTTAACCCGTGCTCGCGGCGTCCAGCACCGTTGCAGCACCCCCAGCCCAGAGTCGGCAGCACCCCCTCCGTCATGATCTCATCCCTCAACGCCAGGTCCTCCCCCAGCATCAACACCTTTTTCAAACCCACGCCCATCAGCCACTCACCTTCACTCGTGCCCTCGGTGTGCCCTCGGTGTGCCCTCGGTGTGCCACAGCGTTGCAGTGCTCCCCGAGTCGGCAGCACCCCCTCTGCCGCGATCTCATCTCGCAGCGCCGGGTCCTCAGCCAGCATGAGCAGCGCCGCCACCGCATCCTGTTTTCCCCTCTCCGACCCACACCACACTCCATCGCCAACTCACCTTCACGTTGCAGGTGGTGATTTAGAACTCTAAGATACCAGATTGTCCCACCAGCAACTCACCTTCACGTTGCAGGTGGTGATTTAGAACTCTAAGATACCAGACTGTCCCACCAGCAACTCACCTTCACGTTGCAGGTGGTGATTTAGAACTCTAAGATACCAGATTGTCCCACCAGCAACTCACCTTCACGTTGCAGGTGGTGATTTAGAACTCTAAGATACCAGATTGTCCCACCAGCAACTCACCTTCACGTTGCAGGTGGTGATTTAGAACTCTAAGTTACCAGATTGTCCCACCAGCAACTCACCTTCACGTTGCAGGTGGTGATTTAGAACTCTAAGATACCAGATTGTCCCACCAGCAACTCACCTTCACGTTGCAGGTGGTGATTTAGAACTCTAAGATACCAGATTGTCCCACCAGCAACTCACCTTCACGTTGAAGGTGGTGATTTAGAACTCTAAGATACCAGATTGTCCCACCAGCAACTCACCTTCACGTTGCAGGTGGTGATTTAGAACTCTAAGTTACCAGATTGTCCCACCAGCAACTCACCTTCACGTTGCAGGTGGTGATTTAGAACTCTAAGATACCAGATTGTCCCACCAGCAACTCACCTTCACGTTGCAGGTGGTGATTTAGAACTCTAAGTTACCAGATTGTCCCACCAGCAACTCACCTTCACCCGTGCTCGCGGCGTCCCACAGCGCTGTAAGGCACCCAATGTAGGCAGCACCCCCTCCGCCGCAATCTCATCCCTCAACGCCGGGTCCTCAGCCAGCATGAGCAGCGCCGCCACAGCATCTTCTTTCCCCCTCTCCGACCCACACTCCATCGCCTCCACCAATAGCGGTATCCCGCCCGCCGCCCGGATCGCCGCCCGCCCCAGCCGCCCGGCTTTCCCCAGGTTGACCAGCACAGCCGTGGCTTTTTCCTCCAGCCCGGACCCGTACTCCTGCAGCATCTCCACCAATAGGGGCACTGCTCCGGAGGAAATTATCGCTGCCCGGTTTTTCTCGGCCAATGAGAGGTTGAAGAGGGTCAGGGCGGCGTCTTTTCGGCTTCGGATGGAGTTGGGGGAGCCGGAGGGGGAGGAGGAGACAGCGAGCATGGCGACCAATCCCGTGACGGCACCTGGCGTCGACCCCACCAGGATTTTATTCGCTTCGGAGGAGGCAGAGATCGCAAAGAGGGCCGCAGCGGCGTTTTCGCGCGCGGTTCGGGAGACGGAGCGAGGCGAGAGGCTCGGCGGCATGTCCGGGTCTGCTCCGGCAGCCATACCCATGCCCATGTCTCTGTTACCAGCATTCACTATAGTCACGAGACGGGGAATGGCGCCGTGGGAGATGAGAGGGGAGTGAGTGGAGGAGGAGAGAGAGAGGTTGAGAATGGCGGTAACAGCATGCTCTACAGTATCGGGATCGCCGCATGGGAAGAGAGAGAGCAGGGCCGGGATGGCTCGGCCCCCCGCTGCTGCCACCACGGCTGCCCGGTTGCCTCGGGAGTCCCGAACCAGGTGCCGAACCTCCTCGGCTGCCCTGCGCCGCTGTATGGTTAGGAACGTTGAGGGCGCCTCGGTGCCGGCGCTGCTGCCGCCCGCACTGCCGCCCAGCATTTGCCGAACCAGGTCCGGAAGCCTGGCCCGAACCTGTTCCTCCTGGTCCGCCCGAGCCGCAGCGGCATCTGCTTCGGAAACCGCCGAGCCTGTTCCACCCGCCCCTCCACTGCACGGCCTCCTGCTGCTGCTGCTGCCCCCCCCACTACCACCCACACTCCCACTGCCGCCCACACTGCCACTGCTGCTCATACTGCCGCCAGACCTATCAGTGGGATTAGTAGCCCACCGCTTAAGCGTCCCTGTCGCGCCGTCCTCCTCCTCCTCCTCCCCGTCCTCCCCCTCCTCCGCCTCCCCCTCCCACCGCGCGGCCATGGGCGCGCACCCCACCGACCCCCCGCCGCCCCTGCTCCCCATCATCATTACCGCCGCGGTGGCGTTCAGATTCGGATTCAGATCCGGATCTAGACCGGGATTTAAATTTAGATTCAGGTGTGGATGCGCGTTGGGGGGGGGACTGGCGCCAAAGGTGACGGCGGCGGCGGCAGCAGCGAGGGGGGAGGCGAACGCGGAGAGCGACGAGTGGCTGTGGCTGTGCGAGTGGTGCGCCTGCCGAACGCCCTCCCCCCCCCGCGCACTGCGCGCCGCGTGCCCTCCCGCACCGCCAGCAGCAGCGCCGGCGCCGCCACTAGAAGACGAGCCACTGACAGCGGCAACGGCGCTCGCGAGCTGCGGGGAGGAGAGGCGGTTCGACGAGACGGACCTGCCATACGCGATTCGAGCGTCTCTGCTTGCAGCACCGGAAGCCAACGGCGCGGAGCTGGGGACGAGCGACACCGGCTCGCCCATGCTATAGCTCTTCCCCGCACTGCCAAACGCGTTCCGCCCGCCCCCTCCCGCTCCCCCTCCCCCTCCCCCTCCGCCGCTTCCGCCGCTACCGCCGCCGCCGCCGCCGCTGCTGCCGCTCCTGCTGTGCGCCAAATACGCCAAAACCTGCTGGCTGCTCCTCTCCCGCTCCCTCTCCCGTTCCCGCTCGCGCTCCCTTTCCCTCTCTCTCTCCCGCTCCCGCTCCCCCTCTCTCCCGCCGCCGCCCCCCTCCGCGTCGCTGTCGTCGTCCCACGCCGCCAGCAGCGCCAGCTGGTGACGGTCGAGCCGCTCCGAGAAGAACCGCTGCTGCGCCGCCGCCGCCACCTGCTGCTGGCTGCTTCCGCCGCCCCCGGCGCCCCCCGGGGCCCCCGCCCGCGCACCTGCTCCGCCCATACCCCCGACCGCCGGCCCTAGAGCCCCCCGCCCGCCAGCCCCTACTTTCCCGCCGGTCGATTTCCCCCCTCCCGCTCCCCCTCCTCCTCCGGACCCCGTCCGACCTCCCCCCGCTGCCGCCGCCCCGCCGGTCCGCGCCGCTTGACGCGGTTGCGGCCCGGACCAGTCGACGCGGCGCGGCTGCGGGCCGCTCCACTCGTCGCGGCCCGGGTAGTGATTCCAGTCGTTCCACGAGTCGTGCGCGCCTTCGCCCGTGCCGAGATACGCGGGCAGCGGGCTGAGCGGCGCGCGCGTGGGGCTCAGCTGCATGGAGCTAGTGGGGCTGTGCGCGGCGCCGCGGTGCGTCGGACTAACGGCGGGGTAAGTCGGACTAAAGCCGGGATGCGTGGGGCTAAGCAGGGGGTTGCTGCTACCGCCGCCGGGTAAGGCGGAGGAGGGACTGAGCGCAGCGCCGGCGCGGGTGGGGGAGTGCGTGGGGGAGGCGAGCGGGGACGACACGGGCCAGATGGGGCAAAGCGGACGATCGGAAGACGACGCGCTGCGCCAGAAATTGTTTCCGCCGGTTCCGGTTCCGCCTCCCCCTCCGCCTGCTCTCCCGCCGCCCCCGCCGCTGCTGGTGCTGCTGTTCGACACGAGGCTGATGCTGCCGCTGCTTGCGCCGCTGGTGGTGCTGCTTCCGCCGCTGCTGAGGTTTCCGCTCTCCCGGTCGGATGACACGCTTCCGCGCCGCTGGTGCCTCTCCCCCGAGGCTGGGCGGGCGGAGTAAGGCTCCGCGTGGCGCTCCCCCGACAGCGGGCGCGCGGACCTTTGAGACGCCTCGTAACTGTCCCCGGTCAGGGGCCGCGCGGGAAACGACTCCCCGCGCGACGCGGAGCGCTCCGCGCGCGGGTTCTGGTCCGCGCGCGAGGCTTGCTCTCCGCGGCCAGTGTAAGAGTCGCTGCGGGGAGTCAGCACCCCGCGCGGGGAGACGGTCGGATGCGCGGAGCCCGCGTCCCCGCCAGGCTTTCCGCCGGCGGCGTTCTGAACAAGCTCTCCGCTGTTCGCCTTCGCGTGCCCACTGCCGCCGCCGCCGCCGCCGCTGGCGGAGGGGGTGGCAGAAAGGCGAATGCCGTGTCCGAGGCACCAGGCGGAAATGATGCTGCGAAGGGATTTGTTGGGGGCGACATGCAGCTCCTCGAGCGCGCAGCGGGTAACCGGACAGTAGCGATTTCCTTCGCGAAACCATCGCTCGATTTCGGCGCGCTCGTAGGTCCGCCCCGACGCGACGGTGACCGGGTCGCGCATTATGTCGAGCGAAATGGGGCAGAAAAAATCCGCGGGGACGGTGACATTCTTGGCGCGAAGATGCGAGATGGGGTATTTGAGGAAGGAGGGCGGCAGGGTGGACGGATCGGCGGGGGGCGATTGGAGTCGTGCGACGAGCTGGTTGTGCGACTGTAACTGCTGCTTCGGCGACATCGCGCGCGTTGGCGAAAGCGGCGCGTTGCCTTGTTGAGAGGCCATGGCGAAACGAGGCGGTGGCGGCGAATTCGATGGGAACAGGAGGTGTTACCAGTCGACCTTCGAGTCGACTCAAAATGCAGCAAGAGGTGATACTAGTCCCGCAATGCGGAATCAGCGCGGATTTTAGTCAGCCTCGAAGCAGCTTATACCACGGAGGCTTTGAGGCGGCTCGCAGCGGGCAATGCGACGAGCAATCCCGTGAATGGAGGTCACCTGGTGAATAAGAATTGAAGAGAACTACAAGAACCGACAGGCATTGTAATTGCGGGCTGGACCGGCTCTACCCTGAACCAGGCAGGTCCGGCTGCGAATGGGCGTGCTCTGGAAGGTAAGGTAATGCCGAAATAGGGTACATAATATGTCGGAGTCTGGAACCGCTTCCCTTCGAAACCACTATGCGAGCGACGGTTAAAGATCGTCTGACTCGCGAAGACGCAGGACCTACCGAAGTGAAGGGAGCGACGATAGTGACCAACCGGCATTGACAAGCCTATTATCAGGGAAATGAAAGAAGCCAAACTGAACTCAAGGTAGTGCTGCCTAAGGGCGGGTCCAACTTTGCACATGTACACTAAATATTCAGCTCAGTTACCACATTTCGGCATGTAACAGAAATACAAACGTACCAGAATCCATTTGACGCGAGACTGTACATATATGATGACATTTCGAAAACGTGCCCGGGGACGTGCAGAACACGTCCGAAGGTTCACGTCAAACTCGTTTCGCGTCAAACACGCCAGAAGGTAACACCTTGTTTCGCTAATTTGTTTTCGCCAATGAATCCCCCTCTGTCACAGGTGCAAAAAACCTCGCTTTATTGGGTAACCCCTCATTCCAGGTACTGTACCCCGCAGCGTTACTGTACCTTGTCAAAAGTCCGAATTGTGCACTCGGAACTGGACAGGAAATGTTTGGAGTTCGCACTGGGGTACAGTCAAGTTTGACTAGTGCATTGACGTAAAAATAACGAAAAAACGGGAGTGTGCAAAGTTGGACCCGCCCTAAGCACTCCACAGCACAAACACCGTGTTTGACCGCTGTTTGCTCCCATAAAGCACGCTGAATCTGAAGCGTGTTCAACGCTCGGTTTGGAAGAAATTTCGTAACAAAATGCTGTTGACTCTTCCAATTTGTTGTAATGTACATATCACTTCTTGTGGATGGATTGAGTTACCCACGGTGAAATGCCACCTCCTCGCACTAGCTTGAGACTGGCGCGAAGCGAGCCCTCGCCTTCAAAGGTCAAGGTTTGGAATAACGCGCAGAGGATGAAATTGTCAGAGACCAATCGGGAGGAGTAACGAGGGAGGAGATTTAGAACAGTACGTACATTGCGGTGTGAACAGATATTGCGCTGGAAATTTGAAAGCTGTGGGGTTCATTGCTGCAACAAGGTTCGTCGGGGCTACTTTGTCTTCTTCCCCAACCTGCGCGCACATTTGTGTAAAGTCTTTCAGTGACATCCACTCTTCACCTTTATGCGGCCGGTTCTTTCGGTGGGGGGCACAATTTGTCCAGTACACTCGTCCCCTGGACGACCTACGTTTCACCCGTTTGCCCAGCAATGGGTTGGAGAAACCACCTTGGACAGCTTGAGATCTCCGGCCCGTAGCAGGAATGCTAGTGTTCACACAACGGCGAGTTAAAGCCCAAGTCCTGAATTTCTCAACGCAAGTCAACTCGGGGCAAAACTGTGGGCTGCGGGAGGCAAACTGTGCACAGTCTGCCTTCGCTTTTTGTAATTCGGGTTTTCGGCTTTAAACCCTTGGCTGGAAACGTGTCACTGCGCACAAACATCTGTTCCACAGTTGCTCATGTCGACTCAATCTTGCAACAATGTTTCAAGGTCGGGACCTCGTTTCATTGTGCCCACCCTCGTGCCAACGAAACTCGTCAGAAATTATTATATTTTGTTCTACCCGCGTAGTCGCCAAAGACTGCCAAAATCATGGCTGCCCGTGTGGCAACAAAACGCAACGAAACGAAAGACTGCCATGGGACGGAACGGATCGAACTTGGTGACCCTGTAAATCTGATGCCAAAAAACAGTGGAAACTCTAAAGAGAATCGCAATGCTGCACTGAGTACTGTCTGGTCTATGTGCAACAATTTATGTACGCGTACCTGAACCTAAGAAGAAACAATGTGCTGGTTTGGCACTATGCTGGAAGCGCAGCACTGGACTGTATCAGGCTGTTGTGTCAATGGTCTGCCCGTATCAGCAACTATTGGTCAGCAGATACTTCATCAGCCCGACTTGAAGGAGGACAAGCTTGAAGATACATTTTCAAGGAACAAGGAGTTGAGGCAGGACAAAATACATTTTACCTGGCACAGAATCAAATTGCGCTTCTCGCTAACCACGTTGCCGTTACACGTTGAATGTTCCCGCGAACTTGAATGGTGGTGATGAATTTGCTTGGTGTACATGGGCTAGATGCTGACGTGGCTGCATTGAAGGCGCTTGATTGGTTTCAGTTGGTCAATGAGTACTCTGCTGGATGAATCCCGCGAATACGAAAGGAGGTGCCTCCTGTGGACAGAGTGTACAACGCTAAATATGGCGAACCTAAATGACGGTAAGATATATTTACATATATCCTGTTTGTGAAAGGGCATCAGCGCATAAGAAGGATGGCTACTTCTTCAGGCCTAAAACGACTAGAATTAGCTGTACAAACCACAAATTCATGAGCGCTTTCACAAGGTTCTCATTAAACGGGCTACCAGGAGGGTATCGAACCGGGAAGTCAAGCAGGGTGCCTTTCACCATGACCGCCTTGCGATGGCTGAAGCAATCAAACGAGTGCTTCCCATGATAGCTGCCCATGCCACTGTCTCCCACTCCACCGAATGGCAACGCTGGATTGACAAACTGCACGCGAGTCGTGCGATTGAAAGCATTGGGGGGTTGAAAAGATTTTGGAGGTAAGTTGGAGCAACAAAAACATAGGCAGAAACAGGAGCACATGGGCGTGCGAAAGGAGCAGAAGCAGGAACACTCATACAAGAGGAGTGGGGGAGTGGGAGAGCGAAGGCAGGGAGCATTGGACCATTGGAAATGGGAAGTTGAGGGCTGTGGGGAGCAAAGGGAGCGGGGTAGTGATCACATGCGAGGTGGTGTCGTTAACGCACACAGCCGTCGAAAAGCATGCTCTTACCTCTTGTTGACAAAGGGCTCAATAAGTTGGTAGCATAAGACACTGCTCTTACCTGCCGGTAAGAACACGATTGAGACGTCTGACAAGGGAGCAAGGCTCACGTGAGAAAGACGGGTGGTTTTGCGACGTCTCAAAACCAACCTTCGTTCGCGTGGCAGTTCGCAGGTGAGAAGACGATTGAGGCGTCTCAAATAGGAGCAAGGCTCACATGAGATGAGAGGTCGTGTTGTTGACGCACACAGCCCCCCGAGGAGGTCTCCTTGACAGAGCGTTCAATCGGCTACACCCAGCTCTCGAAGCAGGAAAAAAACATCCTTTCATACAATCTCCGCATGCATAAGGGTGAAGGGCAGTGCCTCACATGCGAGGTGGTGTCGTTGCCACACACAGCCCCCGACGAGGTCTCCTTGAGAAAGCGGTCAATAAGTTACATCCTTGACACTGCTCTCACAAGGGGAGAGATACTCACATGCGAGGTTGTGTCGTTGACACACACAGCTCCCGAGGAGGTCTCCTTGACAAAGCGGTCAATCACAGTGCTGTGCGTTGTGAACAGGTAGAGCGCCAGTGGCTTCGGGCGGCTGGCGATGATGTCGATCGCCTCGTCCACTCCTCGCACCTGGTGGGATGGGGGGATGACATGACGCCACCGTGGAGGGGAGAGTACTCGAATGGTCCTTGATCAATTATGTGCTCTGCCTTGTCCACGCCACACACGTGCACGTCAGAGGGGAGAGTACTCGAATGGTCCTTGATCAATTATGTGCTCTGCCTTGTCCACGCCACACACGTGCACGTCAGAGGGGAGAGGGCGACTCGGTGGGTGGGATGGCTTGCGAGTGGCTGCTGTGTGATTGAAGTGGGTGAGAGTAAGAGAGGTAGCTTCACTGCTCGCATGTGCCATAGGTAGCCTCTTGCAGAGTAGAAAAAGGTTTCGAACGGCAGCAAGCCGTGGTGAGAGTAAGTGACGTAGCTTCACTGCTCGCATGTGCCATGTGTCTCCACTGCAATTACGACCATAGTACTTGCCATGGCACCTGCTCCAAGGGTAGGGGAACTGATTAGGAGCATTGCAAGGCACCTGGCAGCAAACACCTTGAGGACGGTGACGATGGCCCCGAAGCCCTCCTCCTGCATCACTGCACGCGCCGGGCATCACCGGGCAGCACCAGGAAGCACCTGATAGCACCAGGCAGCACCGGGCAGCACGGCACAGCACCTGCACACACACCTTCAGGACGGTGATGACGGGCCCAAAGTCTTCCTCCTGCATCACTCCACGCGCCTGGCCTGGCAGCACCGCACAGCACCTATGCACACACCTTGATCACGGCAATGACGGGCCCAAATCCCTCCTCCTGCATCACTGGCGCGTCCAGAGGCACGTCTCGAATGACGGTGGGCGCGATGTAACTGGAGGAAGGGCGATGGGGGGTGGGGGGATGGGTGGGGGGGGGGGTGGGTGGAGGGTGGGTGGGGGGATGGGTGGGGTGGTGGGATTGAGAGGGGGAGCAAGGCATGCGTCCAGAGGCACATCTCGAATGATGGTGGAGGCGATGTAGCTGGAGGGGGTAATGGGGGGTTGGAGGTGGGGGTGAGGAGGGGGGTGGGGGGGTATGAGAGGGGATGGGAATGAGAGGGTTCACGCGTCCAGAGGCACATCCCGGATGATGGTGGAAGAGGGGGAAGGGGGGGTTGGGGAGTTGCGAGGGGGAGAAATTGGGGGATAGGGGGGGTGGTATGAGAGGGGGAGCACGGCATGCGTGGAGGGGCACGTTGTGGATGATGGTGGGCGCCTTGTAGCTGGGGGGGCGGAGAGGAGGGGGGGGAAAGGACGGGGGGAGAGGAGGGGTAGATAGGGTGGGTAAGACACGTGTGCAGGGGCGGATCGCAGATGGTGGTGGGCGCCACGTAGCTGGTGAAGGGCGCTGGGGGGTTGGAGGTGACTTCTGAGTCGACTCAAAAGTCACCTGGTGAAGGGCGATGGAGGGTTGGAGGTGGGGGTGGGGTAAGGAAGTCGTGGGAGGGGATGGGAATGAGGGAGAACACGCGTAGAGCGCCACATGATGGATAATGGTGGGCGTCATGTGGCTGGTGGTAGGGGAGGTGTGGGGGGAAGTGGAGTGGAGTGGGGAAAGGGTGACTGGGTGGGTTGGAGAGGGGGGGGGGGGGGAGCAAGGCATGCATCGAAGGGCACATGATGGATGATGGTGGGCGCCATGTAGCTGGCATTGGGGGGGGTGAGAGGGGGAAGAAGAGGCGGGAGAAGAGGGGGGAAAGACGGGGGGGGGGGGAGGGCGGAGGGATTAAGAGGGGGAGAAAGGGCAGGGGTCCAGGGGCACATGATGGATGATGGTGGGCGCCATGTAGCTGGCATTGGGGGGGGGGGTGAGAGGGGCCACGGATTGGCGGAGAAGAAGGGGGTGAGAGGGGGAGCAGGGCAACACGTTGCGGGGAGGAGGGGAGAGGAAAGGGGGCGGACAAGGGGATGAAAAGGGGGGAGAAAGACAACCCTGCAGAACCTCCACTAGCCGCACTTCCTTCCCCCCACTTCCCCAATTCCTTTCCATTAGCCACACTTCTCGCTCCCCAACCCCCCCATTCCCCAAGTAGCCGTGTCCTGTGCTGTCGCCCTTACCTGCCCACCTTTTCTCCCCCAATAGCCGAAGTCCCCCCCAGTGGCTCCCATGCACCGAGTGCCCTCGTCAGTCTTCCCCCCACCACCACAGTGTGTTCCCTCGTGGCCGGGTCACAGGAGCGCATGCATCCGCACCGCGCCCAGCTGTGTGCTCTGTTGTCACCCCTATCTGCCCCCTACAGCCAAGCATGCACCGAGTTGCCTTATCAGTCTCTTCCCCCACGAATATGTGCTCCCTCGTGGCCGGGTCAGACAGCAGAGCGTGCAGCCACGCCCCTTACACCTAAAGTCTTGACCTTCATCCCCTCCCTCCCTCCCCCACCCACCACTAGCCCGAAATCACACACACGCACCGTGTAGCTTCGTCTGTCTCCCCCCCCACAAATATGTGCTCCCTTGGCCGGGTCGGACAGCAGAGCGTGCAGCCGAGCCCAGCTGGCCCATTCTTTCCCACCTTTAACACCCTCCCCCCACTAGCCCGAATGCACACGCACGCACCGTGTCGCTTCGTCCGTCTCCCCCCCCACAACTATGTGCTCCCGTGTGGCCGGGTCGGACAGCAGAGCGTGCAGCCGAGCCCAGCTGCCAGGCGTGGCGATGCGCGCCAGGTCCGGACTCTGCTTCGGATCCGAACCATAAAAGGAGGTCAGGGTGCGACGTAAGTGGTCCGTCTGGAGGACGGGGGTGGTGGGGGGAGGGGGGGAAGAGGGAGGAGAACTGGGAACCAGAAAAGGGAGATTAGGTCCGGGCTCTGCTTCGAATTCGAGCCATCGAAAGAGGTCAGGGTGCGACGCAGGTGTTCGGTCTGAGGGAAAGGGAAAGGGGAACGGGAACGGGAACGGTAACGGGAAGGGAAAGGGGAAGGGGAAACGGAAAGGGGAAGGGGAAGGGGAATGGGAAGGGGAAGGGGAAGGGGGAAGGGGAAGGGGAACGGGAACGGGAACGGGAAGGGGGAAGGGAAAGGGGAAGGGGAAGGGGAAGGGGAAGGGGAAGGGGGAAAGGGGAATGGGAAGGGGAAGGGGAAGGGGAAGGGGGAAGGGGAAGGGGAACGGGAACGGGAAGGGGGAAGGGAAAGGGGAAGGGGAAACGGAAAGGGGAAGGGGAAGGGGAAGGGGGAAGGGGGAAGGGGAAGGGGAAGGGGAAGGGGAAGGGGAAGGGGAAGGGGAAGGGGAAGGGGAAGGGGGAAGGGGAAGGGGAAGGGGAATGGACGCGGGTGTTGGTGGACTCGGGTCGGTTGTGCGTGTTGCATGAACTTTTGGGAGTATGCATGGGAAAGCAGAAGCAAGAGGTGGGGTTGCGGCACAGGTGGTGAGCCTGGCTGCCTGCCTGGCATGAAGGGGAAGCGGTGGTGGATGCAGGCAGGCAGGGTGCAGAGGGGAAGGGAGTGTGAGCGTCTGGTTGGTGGTGCGGGAACAAAAGTGTGAACGGAGATGAGACTAGGCAGAGGGGGCGGAGGAGATATGACAGCCACGGGCACAGGCAGAACAAGCGCGGGCACAGCACAGGCACAATCTTTGAGTAAACTTGACGTGAGGCACATGGCTACCCGTAATCACACACGCCGTGGCACTCACATCACAAGGCGGGCAGCACCAGCAACGGCCTCGTTCTCATAGTCGTGCAAGAGGCAACTCCGCCACACACTGCTACTCCCACCCACCCACCCACCCACCCTCATGCAGGCCACTCACGAACTGGTCAGCCACAGTCTCCTCCACGAGCACATAGCCGGGCAACAGGCAGCTCTGCAGGTCGACTTGATAGCTCTGCCTAGCCTTTAAGGCAGCTGGCTTGGCTTGACACACTCCTCCGACCGACCCTCACACACACGCCATCCACACACTGATCATCAGGCACTCACAAACTGGTCGGCAGCCGACTCCTCGACGAGCACATAGTCGGATGAGAGGCAGCTCTGCAGGTTGACGTGACTTGTTCCACACTGCTACCACCCAGTCTCATGCAAGGCACTCACGAATTGATCAGCAACTGCCTCCTCGACGAGCACATAGTCGGGCGAGAGGCAGCTCTGCCCCGCGTTCACACACATGCCGAACGCTATCCTCTTCACACATATCTGAGGCATGGGATGGAGGGTCGGGGGTGTGCATGGGGTGGGGGTTGCGTGGAGGAGGTTGCATGGGGGGGTTTTCATGGGAGGAGGGTGCTTGGGTTGAGACGCAGCTCTGCCCCGCATTCACACACATGCCGAACGCTATCCTCTTCACACAGATCTGAGGCACGGAAAAGGAAATGGGGAGGGAGGAAATCGAACAGGGGGAGATTCGGTGGGGCGGTGGGGGGATACGGGGTGAAGAGAGGTGGAGTGGAGGGAGGCGATATTGGGAGGAGGAGAAGAGATGATAAAGAAAGGAGAGTCGAAAGAGGGCGAGAGTGAGAAAGGGGAGAGACGGACTCCAAGGATGTTGGGAAAAGAATAGGGCTTCTTTGCCTTGGCTCCAACGAAATAGGCAAGCTTAGCACAGGAAAGCAAGGTTCACGTGACAGCACTTAGACAAGTTAAAAGAACACGCCTTGGCAATTTCTTTGAGAGTGACATGGAAGTCCGCGGAGCTGTCGTGAAGTCCGCCCGCGGAGCTGTCGCAACTTCTTGAGCAGGTGGTTCTTCCCCCCCCCCCAGCTCAAGCGAGATGAGATAGACAGGCTTACATCAGGCAAGCACACAAGGAAGACGCACATTGAAATCCGCGGAGCTGTCAATGTAAGCGGGGTTCTTCCCGCCTAACTCCAGCGCCACTGGCGTGAGGTGCTGCGCTGCTGCTGCCAGCACCCTCCTCCCTATGGAGGCTCCTCCTGGGGAGAGGGGAAAGAGGGGTGGAGCGGAGGGGATGAATGTGATAAATCGAGAGGCAGGCCGAATGGGGAAAGGAACGGAGAGGGGAGGAGGGGGAGGGGGGTGTGGAGAAAAGAAACTGGGGTGGGGGGAAGAGGTGGGGAGGAAGTTGAAGCCACATACAACTAAGTTGGAAAGATAAAAGCAGAGTAGAGAGCAGCATATGCAGCATACGTCAATGCCCACATCCATCCACCCAGCACAACTTTTGAGACGTCTCAAAAGTATAGAGCAGCATATGCAGCATACGTCAATGCCCACATCCACCCAGCACACATGCCAAGAGCACCCTCATCGTGATTCATCCATGATCCTTCCATCCTCGTGTCAGTCAGTGAGCATCACACCTGTGAAGAAGATCTTATCCCATCGGCACTCCAGCAGGGCGGTTGCCACGTCAGCACCGCCTTCCACCACGCGCACGGCCTCCTTGTCCACGTAGCGCGGCAGCAGCTCCGCCAGCAAGGCGGACGACGCTGGCGCCAGCTCAGAGGGCTTGAGCACTGCCACGTTGCCCGCTGCTATGGCTCCAATGAGTGGGTCCAGTGAGAGCACTGGGGATGGAGAAGGGATGGGGGAGGGAGGGGAGTTCAAGCCTTGACTAGCCAGCTGAGAGGGCTTGAGCACTGCCACGTTGCCTGCTGCTATGGCTCCGATCAATGGATCCAGTGAGAGCACTGGGGGATGGAGAAGGGGGGGGCGCGAAGGGAAAGGTCAAGCCCTAACTAGCCAGCTCAGAGGGCTTGAGCACTGCCACGTTGCCCGCTGCTATGCTCCTATCAGAGGTGGTCTAAGGAGAGCCCTGGGGGGAGATGAGAAAGGGATGGATGGGGAAAGGGGGCGGGTTAGTGGGTGGAGAGTGGTGAATGAGGAACCATTGCAACGTTGCCGGCTGCTATGGCTCCGATGAGAGGGTCTAATGAGAGCACTAGGGAATGCCAGGGTGGGGGAGGGGGTTTCGAGGGGGGTTTGGGAGGGAGTTGGGTGGGTGTGGTGTGGGGGAGGTGAGGGGCAAATCTGAGAGGAAAGAGCAAGATCAGCCTGATGCAGCGCCGACGGCCTTATCACTGCCACGTTGCCCGCTGCTATGGCGCCAATGAAGGGGTGCCGTGAGAGCACTGGGGGGATGGACGAGGGTTGGGCAGAGGGGCGCACGTGATGCCTCAGTTAGGTCGTCTCGTTCCACAGATGCCACGTGGCGTGCAGCCATGGGGCCCCCACCCTGGGCATGGCTCACAGCAGGGCATGTACCAATCTGATAAAGCGGGGCTCTCTTACAAAAGGGCATGTTCCAGGCAGCGAAAATAAGGACGGCTCCAAAGGGCATGTTCCCATAAGAGGCAGGGAGAAAGGAAGGGCAGTGACTCACAGAAAGGCATGTTCCAACCCGATCAAGCGGGGCTCACTCACAGAATGGCATGTTCCAGGCAGCAAAGATGAGGACGGCTCCAAAGGGCTCTGGAACGATCTCACTGCGCGCTGGTATGTTGACAAAGTTGGTGGACACCTGGCAGGCGCGGATTGGCAGAGACGGGGCGAGATGTGGTGCAGACATGCAGGCAACGAGGTGGGAAGGGTTTAAAGTGAGACAAATCATAGTGCAGAGGGGCGTGGCATGGCATGGCATGGCATGGCATGGCATGGCATGGCATGGGAAGGCATGGTGGCATGGGATGGCATGATGGAATGGGATGGCATGATGGCGTGGCATAGCCTGATGGCATGGCATAGCATGGCATGATGGCATGGCATGGCATGGCATGATGGTATGGCATGGCATGGCATGGCATGGGAAGGCATGGTGGCATGGGATGGCATGATGGAATGGGATGGCATGATGGCGTGGCATAGCCTGATGGCATGGCATAGCATGATGGCATGGCATGGCATGGCATGATGGCATGGCATGGCATGGCATGGCATGATGGCATGGCATGGCATGGCATGATGGTATGGCATGGCATGGCTCACCCGTTCGGGCTTCATCCATTGCCGCAGACTGCTGGCGGCCTGCTTGGCTGACTGGTACACCTGCACTGTCTGTTACACCAAGGGGAGTGCGTGCGTGCGTGGGTGCGTGCGTGCGTGCGTGTGTGCGAGTATGCGTGTGTGCATGGGTGCGTGGGTGCGTGCGTGGGCGGGTGGGTGTGCATGTGCGGCAGCAACAAGACAACAAGGATGAAACAAAGACAGGTGAGCGGGGAAACGAGCACGGGCGGACGCTCTTTTCTTCACGCTCTAAGCCTTCACGAGCGGACGAATATTGACAAGTCACGCTGCTGCTGACTCGCAAAGCAAGGCGACTAGGCGAGTCGAGGCGAGGGATGATTTCTCGGTCATGAATACACCTTCCATCAGGCTCGACCTTGCATCCCCAACCCACCCACCCTCCAAACCCCCCTCCCCCCCCCACCCCCCCTCTTTGGAAACGGCAGTATCTGTGTTGTGAGCAAAGGTTGAGTCATCAGCTTCAATAAAATGCGGCATCCTTTCTCCTCACAGAGCCAATCAGCGCAAATCAGGGCCAATCAGAACCACACAGCGCGCCAATTAGAGCCAATTGGCTCAAAAGAGCTCGATTCCGTGCCGTCTCAAGTTCCTGAGCTCTCTTAGAGCGTTCTGGAGCAGATTGATTGTAATTGCCGCGTTCAAGGATCTTGGAAGCGAAAAGGGCCAATCGACATCCACATGTTTAATCTCCAAATCTTCTTCTTCCTGAATTCTCAACGCTGTAGAGTGTGACCCTGACAACCACGAATCGTCGATCTGATTCGTCGCTACGACAAATGCTGGCGAATTCCTCCCCAGACGCTGTTCCTTCGCTAACCTCGCAGAGGACGTTTTCGACGCGGCTTCGCTTGAGGTCTTTCGCGAGCGCTGCGAAGATCGCCTCTTCCTCGTCCATCATCAACCGCTCGATCCCTCGCAGCTGCGTCTCCCGCCATTCGCGAGATCGCGTGCGACCGCTGCGAAACACCTCTCGCACGCTAGCGACAAGTTCCGCCGCATCCTTGCTTCCGAACGACCCTTCGCTGGAAGTTTCCGGTGCTGTAGTCGGCATAGCTGACGGGTCTACCGCGACCGATCTTATCGCGGACGCGGACGTGCTTGCGAAACGACTACTACTGCTGCTAGGGTGCTTTGCAGCATCAGAACGAGACAATCTCGGCTCGCGAAGCAGGCGAAGGTCACTCTGCTTGGAACGTCCAGCCGCAGCGGTTGCGGGAACCGAAAATGAAGAGGAAACTGAATGAAGAGGAAACAGCTGCTTAGCCATGGCTGCAGTTGGTGTCGCCATTCCTGTTGAATTTCCGTCCGACCGAAAAGTCCAGCTGAGGGGGAGGTGATATAAACGAGGGGGGCGCGCGATCAAAGCGAAGGGTCGGGCACAAGTCAAGGAATCGGTCTCCACACTCCGAGGGTTTCCCAGATTGCCGCCAGAACAGGCATCCAGCGAGGTGAGCCACGTTGGAGAATCTTGACAACGAGGGTCCACTCTGGCCCAGTGACAAGCTGAAGCATGCTCTCCACGTGCTGCCTTCAGAGTGGTCAGGTACAGAAATGTGTCGAAGGAGCGAAGCCTTCGTGGTAATCGAAAGGTCGCATCGATACTGGATACAAAACCCATATACTACAAAACTGTGTTGAACATGACAAAGTAAACTACATAAGTTGCGCACAACAATTGGCTCTGATTCAGAACACGTACAGTACTCCAGTAGGCTCCCCAGGGTTGTTTGCATGACGCCTAATCCATATGATGATTTAATTTCTGACTGTAATGCTACTAATGTTAGCCAATTTGGAAGGCACAGCTTCCAGCACTTTCAATAAAATGATGCGGGTCCTTCCTGTGCCAGAAAGTCTCAAGAGTAGAAAGAAGTGTTTCGGTCATCATGTGCTGCTTGTCGTGAGATGCAAGATCCTGGTAGAAAGAAGTGATAGAGACCCGCGGAGAATGAAGGGAGACTGGAATGAGTGATGGAGGGGGGCACAAAGGAAACCAGGGAGCAGACTGGAAGCGGGGACAGGGAGAAAATGTAAGCCGGACGACGACCAGGAGTGAAGGGAGAGGGAGAGAGGGATGAAAGATGAGGCCAAGAGTTTGAGAAAGTGGGGAGGGAAAGAAGGAAGGAAGAATGCTTGTGAGAACTGTCACAATTGCTGCAGCTTTTCTGCTTTCTTTGAATTACAGTGGCATCCTAACATCGGGTAGATGTTGGCTGGCAAAGCAAAGGAACCAGGTGCAGCGGGAAATCCAGGAACAAAATTAAGGTTCTGCAAACAAAGGCAGAACAAAACTGAAAGACATCTTGACATAAAACCCACAAAACGAGACACACCATGATTGGCACATCGTTGCATGGTAATGTCAGACGCAGTATGGTCTGTCAGCTTGTGAGGTCCGCTCCATTGAGCATCATGTAGTTACGCTCTCTTGCTGTCACCACATATGGCCCCTCCTACCCAGCTGTGCGGTCGTGATTCCTCCAGCAGAGGCTCTAATCCAACCATGTGTTATCCTCACTACTATTGGACCACGAATACGCTTCGTCTCCATCAAACCACGAAGTTCCAGATCTCTGATGGGGTAGCATCTCGAAGTGAATGTTAAGAGCCCTCCAAGTCTCACTTGTCTGCTCCAATCCCGTCAACTCATCGCGATCGCCCTCCAACACTCTCGAGGTCCTTAGATGCTGACAATCTCGAAACACATTTCTCCCGTACAAGCCCGGGCACGCGATGATCACGAACGACTTGAGGTTACTGAGTCTGGCCATGGATTCAGGCAAGGATCGCAGATTCGGCCAGGAAGACAATGTCAACTGTTTCAAGCGCGAAAGGCTTCCAATCTGCTGTGGTAGTTCGGAGAGGCAAGGAAAACCGAACAGGTAGAGGGTCGAGAGTTTGGGCAGCTGGCAAAGGGATGCTGTGAAGTCTTTGGTGAGATGTACCCGACCAGCCTTGTCTCTGACCTTGCAGCTGGTTGGCCAACCAAACTCGAGTGTCTTGAGGTTGCTGCAGTGCTTGAATAGTGATGGGCTAACTCTCCTGATGTTGTTGCACCGCTTCAAGGAGAAAGTCCGAAGAGTGGACAGCCCTGAGATTGAATCTGGAAGGTTAGCAAGATGTCTTAACTTGCACAGCTCCAGATGCTCGAGAGACGGCAGGTGACCTATGGTATCGGGGAGGAGGTCAAGCAATCTGCACCTTTTGATCACAAGGCGACGGAGGTTAAAAAGGTTGCTCATGGAATCAGGAAGCCAACAAAACTTCCTGCAATTATGGATGGTGATTTCCTCGAGCGAAGTGAGAGAAGAAACCGCGTTCGGAAGGGAAGAAAAGTCTTCACATTTTCGCAGCACAAGAATCCGTAGAGAAGGAAGCTGAAAGAAGGAATCTGGCAGCTTGTAGATATACGTGGTGTATTTGAGGTGAAACTCATGAAGGTTCTGAAGCTGGCTGATGGTCTCAGGAATGTCAGACAGCCATTCCATGCTATTAATGCTGAGTCTAGCCAGCGAGGAGAGCCCACCGATTGAGTCGGGTAAATGGTCGAGGCCTTCAATCCCTGATAACTGTAGCTGGGTCAGTCCGGTGAGTTGACCAAGTGAAGTTGGAAATTCAACACAGTTCAGGCACCTAAGCGTCATGGTCTTAAGGAGAACAAGCTTGTCAAACTGGTCTGGAAAGTTGACGATCCCGACTTTAATATGAACTAAAGTTAAAGGAAGGGAGAAAAAGGACGGTGGGAGACAGTCGATCGTTGCGTAGAACTGTAGGGAAAGGTGCTGCAGGCTAGTGCAAGCAGTGAACAGTGCGTCCAATCCAGCTTCCGTTATCCTGGCGCCTGGCGATGGACCCCCAAACAACGAGACGGGTCGAGATTCGTGGAGGTCGAAGTATGTCAACTTGGGACAGGCAGAGCCAAGTCCGATGAGGAACTCGTCACTGCAATCGCTGATCCTGCGTCTGTCAATCGTTAGCGATGTCAGTTCCTGGAACCGCGACAAGGATCGAAGAAGGCGGGCGGTTTCGGTAAGGCGACCAGAAACATTCGAGACGACCGTTTGCGTGAGACGAGCAAGATGGAGCCATCGCTTGCAAACCACAGCGTGGTTGAGAGATGGCTGGTTCAACAGACGGAAGATGTGGCAAATGAGGTCGTCTGATAGTAGATCTAACGATGGTCGCGGCGACATGAATCTACGTCGAGACGAGGCCCATTGGTCGCGAACCCAGGTCCTTGACGCTAGATCTCTTCCGGACCAAGACATTGTTAAAACGTTTCAGCAAGACTATGTTAGACTGAACTAAACTCGTAAGGGCAGGGAGATCTGGGTGTCGCTAAAAAGCTAGAAGGAGCGTTGTTTCTGCTCAACGTCTGCAGATAGTCTCGGCTTTGGCTATGTTAGCGATACTCCGATCTATGAGCGCTCAGACGGCTTGCTATAAGGCTGCGTTCGATGCTCTTGCTGGAGCACGAGCGAGCGAACTAGAGCCTCCTCGAGTCTGCTGACTTTGGTTGCAGCTCGCCTTGTTTCCCTGCAGCGGAGAACTGAAACGGCTAGTTCTAACGATCATGGGCCTGGCGCAACGAGAAACGATTTCCCGCGCCTTTGGATTTTGGGTAGCGGCTTTTGATTTGGTTGTTCGTGGGGAAGGACCACTTCGCGCTCATCGGCGAAGTCGACTTTCCTGTTACTTCGGCTGGTTACCATGTTCTTTGTTTTCTCGTGCTCTTTGAACCGCTGTAGGGATTGCTCGAGTTTCAGAAGAGCGAGGCACGTGAGCGAAGGCACAGCAGTGAGAGGCTCCGTGTCGTCGGGTTGTCACGAAAGAACGACGTGAAGAATGGTGTTCGCGATTACTTGCGGCAGCTTCGCTCATTCAATTCCATGCTCACCTCAACCCCACTCCACTCCCTTTTCTCCCGTACTCCCAGCCCTTTCTCTCACGTTGCCTTCCGTACTCCCATCCTCCACAGCTCCGCGCCGCGCCTTACCGATGCTTCATGGGCGCGTGCGCTTGTCATTCGTAGGTAGCTCGACGCGCAGATGTGTCATAATAGGCGGCAAGGGTGCGGTTAACAACGCACCTCTGTCCCTGCCCTTTCTGCTTTGGTATGCGTCACGTCTAAAATTCCCATCCCACTCTCACCGCATGTTCGTGCCGTCTCCAAGAGATTATGTTCCCTCCTCCCCTCGTCCCTCTGTTCCTATGTCTCTCTATCCCTCTAGAATACAAACGCAGAGGAAAGAAAATCAGTCCTTCGCTTCCCGTGCGTCCATCGACACGTGGACTATTATCCTCTATCAGGCGACTCGAAATATCTCGCACCACACAGAGGAAAAAAAACGGTCCTTAGCTTTCCCTGCACCAAGCGACCCCTGGACTGACCTCGCAGGTTAGTGTGCTTAGTATTGACACGTTATTCAGCCATGGTGTCGCGTGTCGAGCCGTCACAAATGCCTGACACATTCTCCGTTGATCTCCTTTTTTAGTGCCCCATGCGTTTTAATCGGTATAGTTCTCTCGATTTTCCTTTCCCTTTTGTCGATTTCCCATTTCCCTCCCCCCATTTTCCATTCTCCTCTCCTATTCCCCATTCCCCTCAGCCCATTTCCCAGCTACACATATCCCCTCAACCCATCTCCCCACTCCCCTCTGCCCTTTCCCCATCCCCTTCATCCAACTTCCCCACCCCTCTGCCGCTTTCCCCATCCTCATTCCATTTCCCCCGTTCCCTTATTCCTGTTTTCCCATTCCCCTCCGCCCCTTCCCCATTCCCGTCTGCCCCTTGACGTATTCCCCTCATCCCATTTTCCCACTCCCCTCATCCCATTCCCCTCATCCTATTCCCTCATCCCATTCCCCTCATCCCATTCCCCTCATCCTATTCCCTCATCCCATTCCCCTCATCCCACTTCACATCTCCATCTGCCCATCTCGTCATCCCTTCTAGTTCACATCTCCCTTCTGCCCACTTCCCCACCCCCCTCTTCCCAGAGGCAATGCAGTGGAGGTAGGTGATTGCTGGATGGCCGAAGGAGGGCGAAT